AGAAGGGAAGGGGGGAAGGAAGAAAGGAGGGAGGCGAAGAGAGAGAGAGAGAGGAAGTAAAAGAATAGGAAGAGAATGAGTTTCAAGAGAAGAGGAAAAGGCATATTCGACTAATCGCAAAATATAATATAACTACATTAAGCATTCCTCCACTGATCCCCACAGAAAGGGATAGTAACGTCTCCCGTGATAAGACTGCTCTCTTCGCCTTCTCGTGTTATTCAGTATCAACGGAGAAGATTCACGCCGAGGCTGCCATCTCTGGCGTTGCATCGGGCCTCGTGGGGAAATAGTGGCTGGCTGTCTACGTGGTCTGTGGGTATTTGTGCGTACTTGAAATGCGAGATGTTGGGCGATGCGACTGGCATTCTGACATTAATTAGACTATAATTGGGACTTGCAGTAGAAAAGAAGTAAGTATCCATTAACAAAAAAGGCGGCATCCGGACCAAGGGTCTTCCTGTTCGGAATACAGCAAGCAACAGGCATCCTCTAACATCCTCGGTGGCGCCAGACGTTCGGATGCCGACTCGGAGTGGTTCATCCTCTTGACGGTGGAGGCATGCCACATTCCAGGTCACTGTCAGCATCAGGCCAGCTGTTTCAGCAAGGACATGTTGATCAAATTCTTTCGAAAATTTTGTTGCGTGTTTCGCTCGGAGGATCGGGACCGAGGACCTGAGGCGTGTGAAGCGGCAACGTGATTAAACCAGCTACACCACGCGAGAATAGATCGTAAGCGAGCGAGAGAGAGAGGGAGGAGGGGGGGGCGATAGGGATAGACTGAGAAAATGATAAATGAGAATAAAATGACACGCGCAGGAAATAATGAGTGAAATAAGCGGATTATTGAACGAAGAGATGGATAGTGTTATCCACTTATTTGGTCACTATATTTATTTAACAGGAGAACGTGTTGTTAAATATGTGAATATGGTAGGTATATATGTAAATATATTATCACATATTACATATACATATCTAATATTATATACGTATATATTATATATGAGGAGATAATATAGTATATTTTATATATTTACACTATACTTATACCAGGCAGCACAATGGTCATGTGTTTCCATCCATATAACTCGTAGTTTTGCTGCCTAACCCGCCAACTGGTGTGTATCATCGATAGCGATGTGTGAAGTGTACACGATAGCTAAACAAGTGTGGGGTGTGTGTCGACTGCACGGACGATTCAATTTGGCACGGGATGTGTGTGTGGATGTGTGGCCCATGTGCTGTGCGATAACCATGTGTGTGTGTCAGTGTGCGTAGTTCGTTCGAGGCCCGAAGACGTTTCGGCGGAACTCAAATATGACACGTAATAACATGACAGATTTCTGTGTCCCTGTGTAAATAGAGAGTCATAAGGAACGGGTAGGGCCATGGTTTGCTATAGTTTCACAATATATCATCTACAAATATGTACACACAATCACACTCATATATGTGACAATATTAAATATAACTATAGGTTACACACTTAGCTGCTGGGGCTACCGTCTGTCCTATGCCCCTTGTGTGTGTCGTCAGTAGCCTGTGATGTAGATATAACATTATGCCTATCTTTATTACACTTATGCACTATATATGGGAATACCCCTATACCTAAGAATATATGTATATATGTATAACATCAGCACACACACACCACACACCGAACACAATCTAACAGCACACCACACACACACACACATATTACCTATATAGGTGATAATGTATATAGTATTATTATAAATAGTAGTATAGTTATCATGTTATATATCCCGATATGGTAGGTATTGTATTATATTGTATATGTATATATGTGTACCTATGGGTATATATGGGAGTATATATTATACTATATAAAATAATGCTTACATAAAAGTTATTCAACACCCTATTTGAGGATGTGGAAATAATGAATGAGTATCTGAAATCAACTACTGGAAAAGTATTAAATAAAAGAGGTGATTCATCGGTAGTTACCTTGGTCAATGGAGAATGTGGCTATGACACTCAGTGAATGTGGAAATGCCAATAAGGGCGAAGTAAGTATCTCTATCTCTTCTTTCCTTTTCTTTCATTTTTTATAAAACTTACAAGTTAGATAACAGGGGGGTGAATAGTCAATTATGAGTATTGAATGGATGGCAGATGTACTGGCAGGGAGAACCGACAGGTGATTTTTTTCCTTTTGCGTTTTATTATCGGCGGTGGTTTAGTAAGAGTTTTTGTTCAATTTTCGGTCGCGTGCGGCTGATCCATTAAGCATCCTTGAAAAGGAATCTTGAAGCTGTTTGCTCTGTTATTTTCTCTCTTTAGGTCGAGGTATTTGCACAGGTGTGTTAGGCGAATGATAGTGAACCTAACACAAAGAGTGAATTCGTCGGTGTGTCACGTTCGGTCACACGTGGCACAGATTGCATGGTGGATATCGGCTCGTGATTCCCGGGGTTCGACCTCGAGGAGGAAACGCTTGAACAAGTTTGTAGAGTCGCCTTTCTTACTACCGTACACCATCCCTTCTGCGGCCATCGTTTTTCACGCTCCCGCGTGTCTTGCCCATATGCCTCTCTCTCTCGTTGTTACTATGGCTCGTTAATTTCGCTGTCCTTCTCGCTTCTCTCGCTCCTGTCTCTCTCTCTGTCTCTCTCTCTCTCTCTCTCTCTCTTCTCTCCTCTTCCGGCTGGTCTCTCCAGTTCGAGGGCTTCTCTCTCTCTCCCTCTCGCTCCCTCATCGGTCTCTGCGCGGCTTTTCTTGTCACGTGGCCTCGTGCTGGCTCGTCTCTCTCCCTCTCTCGGTCTCTCCTCCTTACATCTCTCTCCTCTTCTCGTCGCCTCTCTCTCTCTCATCTCTCTCTCTCATCTCTCTCTTGATTTCCCCTTCCACATCGGCCTTTGCTTGTATATCTGTTTTTTATGTCTTGTTTTCTTCGGTTATATTTTCCCCTGTGTCGTACTCTGTGATCAAACTCTGGCCATAAACAGTCTTGCTCGTAATTTCTATTCCCCAATCAGCCGCAGATCAAATCAATCATCAAACTCATAAATAAAAACAAAAACCATCAGGTGCTCTCCCACGCAGGTAAAGAATCAAAGGTGCGTGGATTATGATATAACTGGAATGATAAGACAACAAAGTTAATGATGCACTAAATGATGAAAGGGAAAAGACAAAAGGCAAAGAAGAAAATATGAAAAGGGAAGTAAACAAGCGTTACAGAAAAGTCCTATGAGTTGGTATAGAAATGGTTGATATGAAAATTAATACGATAATGATAATAGTTAATGATAAAAAATGAATGCCAGATGGTGAGTGATGATTTGATGTATGTGCAATTTGTTATCATGTATTACTTGGGCATGCATTTATTGGCATTACACAATTATGATCGATAATGAGTTAGTATGGTATATATAATGACATTATGCTTAGTTGTATGCGAGATGGATAATATGCCAGAAAGACTTGTTTTTTTATATGCTTAGTCTATTCTTAAGATGGGAATTCTTTTGAATGCATTTATGATGAACAAGGAATGAAGTGATACGACGGGATGGAATAAAGAAATATTCAAATACAACCACAAGAATATAATTTAAAGTGCATTCGCAAACAGACACAGGTACAGACAGAGAGCTCTAGACATACAGGAACAGATAGAAAGATAGACAGTAGGGACACGGGGACCAGAGACAGACAGCCATGAGAAGCGCTAGACATAACAACGAGATAGAAAGACAGCAGAGAGCTGATGACATATCATCAGACAGACAGAGAGCTACACATACAGACAGATATAAAGACAGAGAGCTAGACATACAGACAGATATAAAGAAAGACAGACAGACAGCAGCAGTCTCGTTCAATTTTAGAGCACCATATCCATGATATGAAATAAAATTATATGAGAGGCCAAAAGGGACCTGTCTTCCCTCACTCTCGTTAATGTGAATTTGTCTCTGGCTCTGTCTTTCTTTGAATCTCTTGTCTCTCTATGAACTCTTTTTCTGTTCTCTGCTCTCACTCTGCATCTGTCTGTCTCTATCTTTCTCTCTCTCTCTCTCTCTCTCTCTCTCTCTCTCTCTCTCTCTCTCTCTCGGTTCTCTCTCGTCTTCATCTCTCTCTCTCTCTCTCTCTCTCTCTCTCTCTCTCTCTTTCTCTGTTATCCTTATATTTTAGTTTTATCTTTGCACAATACCGTCTCGCAATATATATTTAGAAACACCTGTTATTTTTTATGTGAACTCTAATGTTTGTCATCTTTAAATTTATTATAATTGTCTTTCTCCCACCAAAGACTCCATTCAGGACTCCACTTAAACTCACCTAAACTTGAAATCACCCACCAAACCTCCACAAAGAAACTTCCACTTTAGGACTGAAACCACCACCAATACTCCACAGAATCACTTAGACTGAAAACCCACCCACCAACTCCACAGAACTCCACTTAGACTGAAACACACCACCAAACTGCTCACAGAACTCCACTATAGACTGAAAACCACCCACCAAACTCCCAGAACTCCACTTAGACTGAAACCACCCACCAAAACTCCGGGACAGAACTCCACTTAGACTGAAACCACCCACCAAACTCCACAGAAGCTCCACTTAGACATGAAAATCCAACGCCACCAAACTCCTACAGAATTCACTTAGACTGAAACCACCAACCAAACTCCACAAGAACTCCACTTAAGACTGAAACCACCCACCAAACTCCACAGAAAACTCCACTTAGACTGAAACCACCCACCAAACTCCACAGAACTCCACTTAGGACTTGAAAATATCTCACGCAGCCAAACTCCACAGAACTCCACATAGACTGAGATACCACCCACCAAACTCCAACATGAACTCCACTATTAGTGTAACTGAAACCACTCACCAAAACTCCATCAGAAACTCCCACTTAGAACTGAAACCACCCACCAAACACCAAAACTCCACCAAAACTATCATCTAAACATTTATTTTTTCTCTCTCTCTCCCCGCAGAATGCCGTCTGGGAAGAAACAGATTCGACCTCCACCAAGTCTGGAGTCCGAACCTGGGCCCCCCGTTCGGCGTGTGGAGCTGCGTCAAGTGCGAGTGTGTGCCGGTGAGTACAAAGCGGATTTTGCATTTTCCGTTTTTTTTTTTTTTTTTTTTTTTTTTTTTTTTTTTTTTTTTGAATTATCATCGTCATCTTCATCTTCAGTTTTATCTTCTTCATCTCGTTTTTTTTTTTTTTTTTTATTTTTATCATTATCATCGTCATTTTCATCTTCATCTTATATTTCTTCATCTCTGTTTTTATCTATATATTTATCTTATATCTCTATTTCAGTCGTCATCGGTCATCATCTTTATCTATTATTTATTTTTTATATTTCTATCTTTATCTCTATCGTTGACCTTTCATCAGCCATCGTCATCATCCTCATCATTATCAATCATCATTATTCATCATCTACCCATCTTATTTATCTCTAGTTGAAATTGATTTACTTCTTTATCAATTTCAAATTATTTTAATTCAGCAAATTATTATTAGTTTGTAGTTTATTTTGAATACAAATTCGAAGAGCGAGAGAGAGAGAGAGATGAGAAAGATTCGAGAGAGAGGAGAGAAAGACGTAGAGAGAAGAGAGAGAGAAGAGAGAGAGATAGATAGAGAGAGAGAGAGAGAGAGAGAGAGAAGAATGACGAGAGAGAAAGAGAATGAGAGATGAGAGGAGAGAGGACACGCGTGATGGAGTGTGACTTGATTGAGATGTGAGAAGAGAGAGAGATGACAGAAAGATGTGAAAACAGAAGAGAAAAGAAGAGGAGAGAGGAGAGATAGAAAAGAATAGAGAGACGAAGAGAGAGAGAAAGAGAGAGACGAGAGTGAATGAGTTTGAGTAGTGAGGAGAGAGGAGAGAGAATGTGAATTAAGTGATAGAGTTGAGAGAAAGCAGAGAGAGAAAGAAAGAGAGAGAGACAGAGACAGACAGACAGACGACAGACAAAAGAAGAGTGAGAGAGAGAGAAAGAGAAAGAGAGAGAGAGAGAGAGAGTGAGCGAAAGCAAAAGAGAAAGAACAGAGTGTGTTTGTGTTTACTGAATAATTACCGTAGATAGTTTCGGTAATAAAAGGGAAAAGTACCACTCGCCAGCCCTCTCATCACGGGGCATTTGAGGCCTAATGAGCCGCCGAGAGGAGGGAGAAGAGGAAGAGGAGAAATGAGGAGGAGGAGGAAGAAGAGGAGAGGAAGAGGGGAAATGAGGAGGAGGGGAAGAAGAGAAAGAGGAGGAGAGAGGAGGAGGAGGGAGAAAGACTAGGAGAGGAGAAGGAGAGTGGTAGGATGGTTCAAGAGGCAGAGAAAAGGGAGAGAGAAAAATAGAGGAAGAGGAGGAGGAGGAAAAAAGAATTAAGAAGGGAGAAGATAGAGAGAGAAAAAAGAGGACAGGGGGAATAGTTAAATGATAGAGAGAGGGAAAGATGAGGAAAGAGAATAGGAGAAGGACGGGAGAGAAAAACAAACAGGGAGTAAGTGTTGAATTGGAGAAATAATGAAAACGAAGTTAAGGGAAAGGAAAGAAGACGAAAAAAAACGGAGGAGATAGGGAAAAAATAATCAGGATGGAAATAGAAGAGGAAGAGGAGAAGAAGAGAGAGAAGAGAAGAGACAGAAGAGGTGAAGAGAGAGAAGAGAAGAGAGACAGAACAGACAGACAGACAGACAAGACAAAAGTTTAGAAAAAAAAAAGAGAAAAATCAGAAGCGAGAAGGAAAAAAATAGAGAACGAAGAAGAAGAAAAAGAAGAAGGGTGCAGGCGGCGGCGGAGGGCACGGGCGCCGCCGCTCATTAGGGTGATGGATGGCCCTCGCGGAGTGCCAAGGGTGCCAGGCGTCCCTCCATACACCGGAATCCTACGGAAGGAGTGGAGGCAAAGGGGTGGGGGGGGGGGGGCGGTAGGACACGGTGGTAAGGGGTAGGGAGATAGGCGGGATAAGGGGGGGGTAAGGAGGGGAGGGGGGTAGGACATGGGGTGGGAAGGGGTAGGGAGGATAGGCGGGATAAGGGGTGGGGGTAGGAGGGGAGGGGCGGTAGGACACGGGGGAAGGGGTAGGAAAGGGCGGGATAAGGGGGGGAGTAAGGAGGGGACACGGGGTGGTAAGGGGTAGGAGGATAGGGGATAAGGGGGGTAAGGAGGGGAGGGGCGCTCAACGGGGTAGATCCTTCCTTCTATCTTTGCTGCCTGGTCTTACCCTTCAGTCGCCTCCTATCCTCCATTCCTTTTTTCCTTCGTTCCTCCTTTCTTTCCTCTCCTTCGCTTTCTTCTTCCTCCCTCCTTCCTTCCTCCCTCCCTCTCTCCCTCTCTACCTTCCTAACTCTTTCTTCTTTTGTCTCTCTTTCCCTCTTTCTTTCCCTCTTTCTCTTCCATCCATCCATCCCTACCTTCCTTCCTTCCTTCCTTCCTCCCTTCCTTCCTTTCCATCCATCCTTGTTAATCAGATACTCTCGATTCTGAGATCTCAAGAAGGTTCTGAGGTGGCTCTGTGTGTTGCATGCCTCCTCCTCCTCCTTCTTCCCTTCTTTCTCCTCCTCCTCCTCCTCTTCCTCTACCTCTTTCTCTTCCTCTACCTCCTTTACCTACTCTTCCCCCCCCCCATTCCCCCATGTGTGTGTGTGTGTGTGTGTGTGTGTGTGTGTGTGTGTGTGTGTGTGTGTGTGTGTGTGTGTGTGTGTGTGTGTGTGTGTGTGTGTGTTGTGTGTGTGTGTGTATATGTATGTATGTATGTATGTATGTATGTATGTATGTGTATATGTATATGTATAATGTGTGTATATGTGTATATGTATGTATATGATATATATTATATATATATATATATAATATATAATATATAATAATATATATATATATATATAATATATATATATATATATATATATATATATATATATATAATATATATATATATAATGTGTGTGTGTGTGTGTGTGTGTGTTGTGTGTGTGTGTGTGTGGTGTGTTGTGTGTGCGTGTGCGTGTGTGTATGTGTATGTGTGCGTGTGTGTGTGTGTGTATGTGTGCGTGTGTGTGTGTTGTGTGTGTATGGTGTGTGTGTGCGTGTGCTTGTGTGTTGGTGTATGTTGTGTGTGTGTGTGTATGTGTGTGTGTGTGTGTGATACGTGTATATGTATCTCTGCAAATAATTTATTCAATCAAGCCTTCATCCCACACCCAATATCCTTGGTCACGTTTACACATACACACACACAGACATTCCGTGATCATACTTACATAAATCACCGAGTGCCTGTGAGAAGTCCACGGGGCTTGGCACAGTGCCAGAGGTAAATTATGTATGAGTGGCCGATCCCCACGCTCGCTGAGGGGCCCCAGGGGGAGTGGCGAAGCCTGCTGCAGGAAGGGCTTGTCCCTGGGGGCGATCTAGAGGATTTTTTTTGGGGGAAAGGGGGAAAGGCGGGGGTCGTGGGGAGGAAAAGGAGGGAGAGGGGGAGGAGGAGGGGGTAAAGAGTGGGGAGGAGGGAGGGAAGGTGAGAGGAGGAAGAAGTAAAGAGTGAGGGGGGGGGAGGAGGAAGGGAAAGGATGAGAGAGGAGGAAGTAAAGAGTGGGAGGAGAGGGAGGAGGAGGGGAGGAGGGGAAAGGGTGGGAGAGGAGGAGGGGAAAGGATGGGAGAGGAGGAGGGGAAAGGGTGGGAGGAGGAAGGTAAGGAGTGGAGGGGAAAGGAGAGGAGTGAGGGAGGAGAAAGGGTGGGAGGGAGGTTGGGGGTAGGAGGGAAGCTAGGGGTGGAGGGGAAAGGTTGGGGAAAATTAAGGGAAAGGAGGACGGATGGTGGATAAAGGGTAAAGAAAAGAAAGGGGGGAAAGGGAGAGGGGGAGGAAGAAGAGAAAGAGAGAGAGACAGAGGAGAGACTGAGAGAAACAGCAAGACAGACAAACAGACGGATATACAGACATGTAAACAATATTACCCTTAGACCTCGTGAATAATGGCGTTTAGTAGACACTTTATTTTATTATTTTTTTTATAATTCCTTCTTTCCCTCTGCCTCTCGCCACCACCTTCCTCTGGGTTTTCCTCCTTACTTCCCCTTACTCCCCCCCCCCTCGTGTTTTCTCTTTTCTCGCTCATTACTCACTTTCCTTCTTCCTCATTCTCCCCTCTTTGTGGGAGAAAGAAAGACCTTGTTGTGGCAGAATTGAGGTTAGATGAGGATTAATTGATGATGAGGCGTTTGAGGATGATGAAGAAAAGGAAGAAAGAAGAGAGAAAAGGGAAGGGAAGAGGAAGAAGAAGAAGAAGAAGAAAGAAGAAGAAGAAGAGAAAGGGGAAGGGGAAGAAGAGAAGAGAAGGGAGGAAGAGACGAGGAAGAGGGGAGAGGAAGGAGAAGAAGAGGAAGGAAAAGGAGAAGGAGAAGATGAAGGGAAGAAGAAGAAGAAGAAGAAGGCGAGAGAATGGAAGTAGGAAGAACATGGGAATGAAACGGAAAATGAAAAGGGGCGAAGCAGGAAGGCAGACAAAGAGAAAGGAGGGAGGCGCTTGCAAGAGTCAGCTGATAAGGGCGAGGGAGGGCGCCCGTCCAGAAATGTTTGCCTTGTATGCAAATTAGCAAGACATAAGGTGAGACGGGGCTTTCTCGCCTTTATGTCTGTGTTTAAACTGGAGGATGCCGGCGGAAGGGCGGGGACCGGGGCGGGGACGGGGCCGGGGGCGGGGGAGGGGACAGGGGGTAGGGGGGAGGGAGGGGAGAGGGACAGGGGGAGAGAGCGGGGTGGGGGAGGGGGGAGGGAGGGGGAGGGGATAGGAGAGGGAGAGGGAGCAGTGGTAGGGGGGTGGGGGAGGGTGGTCGCTGCGGTCCTGGGAATGGGTGCAGCTTTGTGGACATTCAGACGGACATACGTGTACGTACATACACGCGCATATACGCACACGTACGCGAGCGAGCGAGCGAGCGCGCACACATACACACACACACACACACACACACACACACACACACACACACACACACACCACACACACACACACACACACACACACACACACACACACGAACACGAACACACGCACACACACACAGATATAGATATAAATAGATAAATCGATAGATCTTCCTGTGTGTGTTTTGTCTATGTATGTATTTCCTTTGTATTGTAAATATGAAGAGACAGACAGATCCAGAGAGAGAGAGGAGAGAGGAGAGAGAGAGAGAGAGAGAGAGAGAGAGAGAGAGAGAGAGAGAGGAGAGAGAGAGAGAGAGAGAGAGAGAGAGAGAGAGGGGGGGGCTGAGAGGGAGACAGGGTTGCCATCTGAAGGGCACTCTATCGTCAGCATTATTGGCAACCTGTTGGCCTTCGTCTTGGGATTAGAAGCTGGAGGACAGAAGCAGTTATCAACCTATTCTCTCTATCTCTCTCTCTCTCTCTCTCTCTCTCTCTCTCTCTCTCTCTCTCTCTCTCTCTCTCTCTCTCTCTCTCTCTCTCTCTCTCTCTTCTCTCGTCTCTATATTGCTATTATTATTATCAATATAACCACCGTCCTCCTCTCTCCTCCTCCTCCTCCTCCTCTCCTCCTCCTCCTCCTCCTCCTCCCTCCTCCTCCTCCTCCTCCTCCTCCTCCTCCTCCCCTCCTCCTCCTCCTCCTCCTCCTCCTCCTCCTCCTCCTCCTCCCTCCTCCTCTCCTCCTCCTCCTCCTCTCCTCCTCCTCCTCCTCCTCCCTCCTCCTTCCTCCTCCTCCTCCTCCTCCTCCCCTCCCCCATCATCACCACCACCACCATTATTTTTATCATCATTATCACCATATATCTGAAATTATCCTTTAATCGTAGTCTGACCCGTCTATTCCGAAGACACCGATTTATTGTTTTTTTTTCTTATTTATTTTTTGTGTTTTTTATGTAAACCTCCTTTTTGTTAGGTCGCATTTCTATTTTGTTTGTTTGTTCTTCAAGTTTGGGATGGAAGTGCCATAAGGGCGGCTTTCCATAGGGTCACTAAGGGAAGGTGAGCTCTATGGACGAGATGGCACCATGACAACCATTTATCGGGTGGGCGGGGAGGCTGTTACAGATTCGTGATGGATGGGCGCGTGTCCTAGCCCCCCCCCCCCTCTATCCCCTCCTTCCCCTCCTCCCTTCCCCCACTCTTCACATTTTCTTTTATTTTCGTTCTTTTTTTGTTTTGTTTTGTTTTTTTTTACTTCTTTTGAGTGTGTGTATGTTTGTGTGTGCGTGCGTGTACGTGATTGTATATATGTATGAATGCGAGTGTGTGTGTGTGCATGTGCGTGGTTGTATATACAGTATGTGTGAATGCGAGTGTGTGTGTGTGCGTGTGCGTGATTGTATATACAGTATGTGTGAATGCGAGTGTATGTGCGTGTGCGTGTTGTTTGCGTGTGTTCATGTGCGTGTGCGTAAGCATGTATGCACGTACACCTGCAGACACCAAATTAAGAGTGCCACACCGCTAGTGCCATGTCTCCCAGCCGTGTTTACAACATAAGAGAGGCATTTGATCAGTTCCGAATACATCTTTCTCAGAAATAAGAGTTATCTTCACAATACGAGAGATGTATACGACCCGTTTCGAATATATCTCCGTCAGAAACATATGATATATCTCTTAAGATATATTCCAAACCGGTTCAAATACACGTGTCATATTGTGAAGATATTCAGTCTCATTCACACATTTTTTTTTTCTTTTTACGAATGTCACAATGGATACAGTTCGTGCCATTTACAGAGTGCGTGGAGAGCATAAGCGATCGTGTGTATAAATAGATCGACCTCGCATTGGAAAAGGGTTATGGGCAGTGCAGTACTCTTCGCATGATAAAGGTTCTTATTTATCGTTGTTATTATTATTTTTTCTTGTTGTTATTGCCATTGTTATTGTTGTTATTGTCATTGTTATTGTTTATGTTATTATTATTATTATTATTATTATTATTATCTTATATTATTTATTATTATTTATTATTATTATTATTGTTATTATCATCATCATTATTATATTATCATTATTATTGCTGTTGCTATTCTTAGTAGTTAGTAATAGTAGTAGTAGTAGTATTGTTGTTGTTGTTTTTGTTATTATTAGAATCATCAGTATTTTTCATAATCATTATTATTTTGATTATCATCATTATTATCACCGCCACCACCAACATCAATTATCATCATCATCATCATCATCCTATCATCATGTCACATCATCATCATCAATCAATCATCCCATCATCATCATCATCATCCATCATCACCATCATCATCATCATCATCAACCATCATCACCATTATTATGAAATGATTAACGGATATTCGACCTGCGTCCTCGATCGGCGGCGCAGGATGTGAGGATGAAGCAAGGAGGAGACTCGCCTCATCTCAGCTGATTTCATTTACTATATGGCACGTTACCCCTTCCCCTGTCTAAGTGCGTGGCCGAGGCTTCGGTGTGTGCCTATCTCCTTGGCGAGAATTTAGTATTTCTTTTTTTATTCGGGAAGATGAGGAGGGGTGGTTATGTTTCTGAGGAGAAACGTTGATATTTGGTGCGAGAGATATGGGGCGAGGGGTGAGCGAACAAATAAAAAACAAAACAAAAAAAACGGAGAAGCGAAGCCCAAAGTGAAAGGTTTCGGAGGCGGCGAGCGGTAGGGAGGGTCAGAGGGACAGCAAAAGCGCGCCTCGAGACTCCTATTTTATTTTTCGTAGGCTTAGGCGCCCTCCACCTCTCTTTTCACGCCTTTCCTACGACCTGTTGTTTGACTTCGCTTGCAAACACAAAAGCCTTGCGATAAACGCGTGGCATTTGTTTTTTTGTTTGTCTGTTTGTTTGTTTTTTTCTCGGACAACCGCTGATGGCAGTATGGCACCTGACCGCGGCTTGGGCTTCGTCGTGGTGTGTAATCTCTCTCTACCTGCGTAGCGTTTTCTTGTCGCGAGATTTTAAGATACCGGAATATCGGATCAAACAGCATCATTAAATTGCATCTCTTCTTTGTGAATGAATTAAGCTTAAATTCCTTTATTTTTCCACTGGTGATGAGTTCCCGATGACAAGACCAAGTCGCGGGTGTTGCTTTCGGACGCGGGTAGCCAACCGCTCGGCACCTTGCCAAGCCAGATCCACGAGACAGCTTATGACGACACATACACTTTTTTTCTTCTTTTCTTTTCTTCTTTCTCTCTTTTTTAGTCTCATCTGTGCTTTCCCCTTTTCCTTTTCATAAAGCCTATATTTTTTTTGTGTCCCAACGTATCCCAATGGAGTGATATGAATTGTATCCCAACGTCTCGCATTGTCCGAATGTGCGGTTTTACTTCTTCCAAAACTCCCCGCACTTTCTCGCCTCCCCCGTCCCCCTCCCCCCTATAAATAAAAAAAAATCTCTAAAGGTCGATTATTTCACAGAACAGGCAATTTCGGCGACAAACATGATTGATACCTCTCTCGCTCTCACCCAGACGCCGCGGGTTCGGGGACGGGGAGGGGAGGGAGAGAGAGAACAGAGGGGAGAGGGGGATAAGAGAGAGAGAACAGAGGGGAGAGGGGGAAAGAGACTAGAGAGGGAGAGGGGGATAAGAGAGAGAGAACAGAGGGAGAGAGGGGATAAGAGAGAGAGAGAACAGAGGGGAGAGGGGTGAGAGATAGAGAGAGAACAGAGAGGAGAAGGGGATAGAGACTAGAGAGAGGGGATAAAGAGGAGAAAAGGGGGGGGAATTGGATAGGGGAAGATGGGAAGGAGGGGAAGGGGAAAAGGAGAACAAGGGGGAACGGGAAGGGAGAGGAGAGCGGAGGGGAGAGGGGGAGAAGGGAGAGGAGACGCATGCGGCGACGATGAACTAAGTCCCCCGAGAAGGCGGTACGGCCCGTGGGGTTGGAGGAGGGGGTGGGGAGAGGGGGAGGGGGGTGTTCTCGGCATTATTAATGTGAGAAAGAATTAGCGGGGATGTTATCTGTGATTCATTTTTCTCTCTGTATTTGGAGTGAGGGGAAAGGGTTGGGTAAGGTGCACCTCGGCCGCCTCGTGTCGTGTGGGTCTCCTTCGCCCTTTCCTTCTAAGGACTGGGGTTTTGGGCTTGTTATTTCTTATTTTTTTAAGGTAGTGTTATTATTGTTGATTTGCGTTCTTGTTATGATTATTGTTTGCTGTTTTAATCATTATTAACTTGACAGTCATCACCATCACCACCACAAATAACACTACTACTTCTACACTTCCACCACCACGCCTACCACTCCACACCACACCACACCACACCACACCACACCACACCACACCACACCACACACCAACCACCAACACCACCACCACCACCACCACCACCACCACTGCTGTTGCTGCTGCTGCTACTACTACTACTTACTACAATCATCATCAATTAACTTCTATAATAACGGGCATCTTATTTTAAATAATATATCCCCAGGAGGACAATCCACTCTCGCAATTTTCCCTTAGCTTGCTGTGTCACCCGCTGCGTTTGAGGCGTGGGCTATGGCGGGGGTTTCGTCTGTTCTCTGGGCGGGCGGGGCTGCTGGCTCTCCATGGGGCGGGGGAGGGGGGGGAAGGGAGGGGAGGGGGCATAAGGTTTAAAGGGATTCGTGTGGTTTGATATTAGGTTGATCGAGGTTGTTCTTAAGATTTGGTCGAGAGAGGCTGGGAAGAAGAGAGGAGAAGAAAGGAGAGAGGAGAAGAGAGAGAGGAGAGGAGAGGAGAGAGAGGAGAGGAAAGAGAGAAAGAGAGAGAGAGAGAGAGAGCGGGCACCTCGGCCGTCAGGGGTCAGTGTGTCAGGCCATCAGAGGTCACAGCGCTACTACGGCCGCCATAGGTCAGAAGGTCGCCATGACAACGAAAGGTCAGAGGGCCACGGTCAGCCACCAAGCAGGCTATCAGAGTGCTGTCGCTATCGCTGGAGACATGTCACTGTGAGTGTGACAGCAACAAGCGTTACCGAGCACCAAGCCTGAGACACGGTAAGGTCACGCCGTCAAAGGTCAAAGGTCAGCCGAAGACACAGAAGAGGAGGACGAAAGCGAAGCTGCTCGAAGGAGAGGGAAGAGAGAGGAAGCGGGTGATAGATATAATAGGAAATGGAACAGGAGAGTTGGAGCAAAAGACAATAAGAGGATAGATATGATGATGGGGGGATAGATGTGATAATATGCTGATAGATATGACGATTAGATGATGAATAGGAAAAGAAAGATGAAACAGTAAGGTGCGAGAACGTGATAAATAGAAGAAGGATTCGAACAGCAGACCAAAAACAAAAGACAATAAGATGATAAACACGACGATAAAAATAGGAAAAAACAGTAAAGATAGATGAAGCAACAAAGCGTAGAAAACGGACGAAAGATCTAATAGAAAACAGAACGACAGACTTCGAACCAAAGATAATAAGATAAGAAACACGACAAGGAGACGATAATTAAACAGGGATGAGCCAGTGAGCCGGAGAACACGGACGAAAGGGATAAGAGAGAAGAGACAAACTCAAAACAAAACGAAAAATAAGAAAAAAAAGACGAACAGATTATCTTTTAGTGTACCGTTAGCAAGCGATCTTCAGACATACTCACCGCGGGCTGTTGAACGCCTAAAAAAAGAGCAAAAAAAAGAGGAAATATGAGAGAGAAGCAAGATCCCGATCATACATATCGAGTATGTGTTTTTAAAGACGACAGCAATAGCAAGATATCATATTTATGGCTGTTGAGAAAGCCATAAAGAGTTAAAGACCTCGAGAGGGCCATCGGAGGACGGAGAGGAGAGGGAGAGACAGGGAGAGGACAAACGGCGGAGAGAGAAGGGGAGAAGGGAAGATGAGGAGAGAAATGGGAGAGGGAGAAGAGAAAGAGAGGGGAGAGTGGTAGGTGAGGAGAAGAGAAGAGAAGAGAGAGAAAAGAGAAAGACAAAGATAGATAGGCCAAAGCAGAGAGAGACAGATAGACAGAGACAGAGACAGAGAGACGGGGTGGGAGAGAGAGAGAGAGAGAGACAGAGAGACAGAAACAGAGAGGAGACAGGGTGGGAGAGAAGAGAGAGACAGACAGAGACAGAGCAGAGAGACAGAGAGAGACAGACAGAAGACAGACAGAAGACAGAGAGAGACAGACCAGAGACAGAGACAGAGACAGACAGAGAGACAGAGAGAAAGAGAGAGAGACAGAGCAGAGGGGGGGCCCCCAAACAGGAGAAAGGCAGAGCAGCGGAGGCCGAGGGGTAACCGTCCGAAATCGAGAGGGCCGTCCAGATTCCGTGTGCTTCTGCGACAATTTCCCGTTTGTCGAGTTTGTTGAATTACCCTGAATCCAGCCGCGTTAGACAGTCGCCCTGACCCTAAATCGGAGGCTGGGTAGGGGTGGGGATAAGGGTCAGACGGGGGGAGGAGCTAAGGGTATGGTAAGGGGGTCGCGTGGAGGGTGGAATGGGGGAGGGGATTGATTAGTAAGGAGGGCTACCCATCGGCCTTGCGTTCAGCTTCTCTGTTTTATCTGCGGTTCTAACGCTCTCTCTCTCTCTCTCTCTCTCTCTCTCTCTCTCTCTCTCTCTCTCCCTCTCCTCTCTTCTCTCTCTCTCTCTCTCTCTCTCTCTCTCTCTCTTTGTGAAGTCTATGTTTTAGACAGCTATCTAATTTCTTTCTTTTTCGTACTCTACTTTCTCGTATCTTCTTATTGCCTTCGCGTCTACCTCTCTCTCCCTCGCTCTCTCCCTCCCCAATATAAACATTTACCATACTCTCTCGTCGCCTAACCATACTCGCTATATCCCACACCACCACAAATTCTAAATCGACTCAAGCTCACATCTCTTCAATCATAGTCATCTAACTCTCATCTAATAAATATCAATGTCTTTACTGATCACGATAAACACTCATAAAAAAAAAACTAACAGAAAGCAGAAAAAGATCTCAAAGATATAATCCTTCCAATCATCTTACCATATTCAACATTATCAATTCCTACTTCCCAATCAAATTAAACAAAAATACAAATAAACAATGAAAAAAATCATCAAACTACTGACACAACCATAACTGAATAACTCAATAAATTATCGAGAATCATCACATCTTTAAAAACATTAAATAAATCAAAAAATGAAAATATAACGTCATAATGCCCCCAAACAATCATTACATAGACAACAACATAAAATAATCAAAACTAATATACTCTATGTACGAAACATACCAATCGTCTCCCTCTTCAAAAATCAATCACTACTACCGCATATAGCACCATCGATGTAAACTGCAATTATAATCACAACACAATACAGCGAAACCTGCCATGTTCGAATATGCACCTGCTAAAATGAAGGCCTACCGATAAAAAGCAGAAAGCCTTTATACATCACCAAACAATCTAAAAACAATATAAAAATAATAAACAAAAAAATAAACTAATAATAAATAAAACAAAAAAAGAATCAAATAATTTATCACATCCCTCCCTCCAT